AAATTTACTTGGTCTCCACACAAAATTTTAAAATATCGTCATCCAAAAATCAAAAAAATGTCTACTCACAACACCACCATGCGCTTTCACTACTAATAAAATTTTATTTTTAATTAAGCATTTTTTATTTTTATTATTTTAATAATTCCTGCCTTTTGGCAAGTTATTAAAATATAAAACATAAAATACGCATTACCAATATCTGTACAAAATCCGACGTAAGACTGATTTTAGGTGCACTTTGTTAGAATTATGCACAAAACTGCATTACTATGCAATAGTCTAAAAATTTCCGAAGGCATAGAGGGGTTCATATGACAATAATTCGATACAAAAATATAATTTGTTTTTCTCGAATCCATAAGTGTTAAAATTCAAAATAGTATATTTAAAAAAATACTATAACCTAATGTAGATATAGATGCATACGATGAGTAAATAAAATGTAAAATCGGTTCAATATTTTAGAAGTGCTTTTTGGACAAACATCGTGACACATTTACACACATTTATATTTATATATGAATAAATTTAATATATTAATTAATTTAACGCAATTAATTAACGATATTCACACCCCCTTAAGAAAAGTAAAATGCAACAGGTTGCATCCATCGATGTTCTATGCCTTTAACTAAAAAAAAACAAGAGAATGATTAGCAAATAAACTTTCCCTACCATTTGCCAGTTCCTGAAAACCAACAATATGATCCTTTTTACGGTCGTGAAATTTTGCTGATATTTGATATTTCAAACATTAGAATACAGTTTTTGCTATTCACATATTTTTTTATGCCATAGCTGAACCCAATGTATGGAAATGGGTCTCATTTGCCACTATACAAAGGAATTGCTGAGAGCAACTCTCTCAATGTTTGAGGAGCAGTCAAAACAAATATTTTTCTCCAAACGTAATAACCTCTTGGAGAAATTTTAAGCAGAGTTAAAGCAAGAACTTTATCATTAAATGTAAATTTTCTTCCTTTTGGCTTTTTCGTATGTTCTCTTAGTTGACTTAATATAAAATTAATTCATGAAGAACATACTTGAAATGATCCAATAATTGACAACATTTTCGAAATAAATAAAAAAATGTTGTCCCTGGAACCTTCAGAGAATTTCCTGTGTAATCTTTATATTCAATCCAAGATGCTTCATCTTTGCCAATTGGATTTTCCAATAGCTCAATTGCACAAGTGTGGCAATCCTGGACACTGTTCATCAGTATCTTAATACAGTACCCTGCAACATATGTGTTTTACTGTAAAGCGTCACGTCTTAAAAGAAAAAAGGCTCTTCATCTACTTCTTCATAAAAAACCTCTCTATTCGAAACATGATCGCTATCAAGAAAAACTCGATAAGCAGCAGGTAAACCACAATTGTCATCAACTTCACAATTAGAAGAAGGCGAATGACGTGATGATAAATTATTTATAATCAGTGTCCTAAAGAAGGATATAAAAGAAAAATAATTTGGATTCTTATTACATTCACCTTGCATTTTTATGCTGCCAAAAAAGTTTTCTAACGGATCCTGATTGAAATTTCGCGTACACAAAAAATTAAAGCCATTAATTAACCGGATTTTTCCCCATATATGTTCCAACCCATCTATGGTTCTGATCCAATTCTTAATGGTAGGAGTTTTCATTATGGTTCTAACTGAATCTTTACTTTTAATCAAGTACATTGAATCTAACACTTGCCTTGCAATTTTCCAGAATTTAATATGTACTGAATTATCGTTAATGGCACAACGAAATATATTGCCATTTGTTAAAAATTGAGATAAACCATTAACACTATCAAAAAGGTAATTCATGAACTCCAAAAATTTTCCTGTACCTACCGAAGTAGCACTCACATTGGCTTCGTGAGCATGTACAATGAAATATTGAAGTCCAAGCGCTACCCGTTTAGAAAATACTTGTGCTGCAAAGCTAACCTTCATTTTTTTCATTTTTGTTTCATCATGGTGGTGTTCCGTTAAAGTAGTGCATTGGCGAAACATGCCCAAATTGCTATCAAAGTCATGTTAATTTCTGATATTCTTCCAACATGCTTCGTATGCATCTCCTTTTTGATCCATAAATCTAACATTATACCTAATAAAGTTATTTCTTATGCATTTTAGCAAATGTGGAGGATCATACAAAGGAACTATTTCATGGCCATCTATTTCAAATATGTCTATTCCATTCAAGATTTTGTAATTTATACAATTTCTCAGTATCTCTAAGAAGCATATTTATAGCTTTGCCATTAGCAGCTAACTGATCACAAACTGTCGCAATAACATTTAGACCAATACTCAATAGTTTTCTTATGACATCTACAATAATACATTTTAAATTAACGCTATTCACACCCCCATCAGAGAAGTAAAATGCAACTGGTTGCACCTAGCGATGTTTTATGCCTTTAACTAAAAAGACAAGAGAATGATCATCAAATAAACTTTCCCTGCCATTTGCCAGTTCCTGAAATCCAACAATATGATCCTTTTTACGGTCGTAAAATATTGCGTATGATAATGATATTTCATCAAACATTAGAACACAATTTTTGCTATTCACATTTTTTCCTGTGCCATAGCTGAACCCAATGTTTGGAAAAGGGTATCATTAATACCACTATACAAAGGAACTGGTGAGAGCAACTTTCTCAATATTTGAGGAGCAGGCAAAACAAATATTTTTCTCCAAAAGTAATAACCTCTTGGAGAAATTTTATGCAGAGTTGAAGCAAGAATTTTATCATTAAGCGTAAATATCCTTCCTTTTGGCTTTTTCGTATGTTCTATACGAAAAAGTATGTATAAAATTACGAGCCCTCTTATTTAATGTTGCTGGGAGATGAGCAAAATTTTCCGCACATTTGAGACTTTCTTGTAACTTCTGCATCATTGTTTTTTTGTATATTTATTCTCCTTACTTCCTTTCTCAACACTTTTGTTATACGGTATAAATTTTGTTCTTTGCATGTCTGGTCTCCGCACTGCTTATATCTTGAGTTACGAATTTTTTAGAATTGGTAAATTAAAACACTGGATGGCTTGTTAATATTATATATTCAATAGATGTTTACTCTTTGGCGGTATGTAATGTAAGAAGGTGTATCTTATTAGTTCTATGTACAAGTTGCGAAAGGTTATGTGAATCGCGAACATTGCGATTGACATTCCCGTTACCAACATATAGGACGCTGACGCTTTGTGCTAACAGTACGCACGAAGCGCGCGGTTTTTAAAGTGTAAGAATGAATAATTTTGTCCATGCTCCCCCGCGATGCAAGCATCACGTATTATTATAAAGGAAGTAACAAAATTATTCTTACAATAATCAATTATCTCAAATCTAACAAATAATATCAAATTAAAATGAGAATAATATAACAATAATAAATATAATACATAGTCATGGTATAACAACAATAAAATAATGTGCATAACAAGAAGACTAATAATAGTGTGTAATCAAAGTGAGTACATCAACAGTGGACTGTATAATCTAAAATAAAAAATCAAAATTAATATATATGTAATTAGCAAACATAATGCTAAACATAATTAAATCTTAATAATAAAAAAAAAAATAGTATCCTAAATAGCAATTGAACTAACAACTAATATTTTTCCTAATCTAGCTAATATTCATTTATTGATTAATTTATTACTATTAATCTATCGTAGCCTAAATTAAAAAAGGAATATGTAAACAAAACAGTAAAAAAGAACAAATGCAGATAGTGACTTACAATCTATTGACAGGGTAGTATAACAATTTTTGTATTTGGACGAGTATATGTCCCACTACTAGTTTTGACTGTCACTACGCTAACCTTGCCATCTTGACCTGGCTTGGTGTCTATTACACGCCCAACGGGCCAATGTAATGGAGGCAAATTGTCCTCCTCCAACAACACTATTGCATTTAAATTAATATTTGGTTAGACCTGTGTCCATTTATTTCTTTTTTGCAAGTCATTAAGGTATTGTTTTGACCAAAGTGACCAAAATTGGTCACGGCCTTAATGCGAGGTGCCTTCCTCAATCGACTAGCTCTCAATAACACTGGCCCTGCAAAATCCAGTCCTACAATCTGAAATGGCCTGTAAGCAGTGACCCGGTCTTTTGGCAAAACTCCCATTAGCTGCTCTGCACAAGTAGCCCTAAACCGAGCACACTTTACACATTTGTGTATTATGCACTTGACAGTATTGGGGCCATCTATAGGCTAATATTTTAATCTGATATTTGCTAAAGTAGTCTGGGTACCAGCATGTAGCAAACGTTCATGCTCTAATTGAATGAAAATGTCAATGGCCAAATTGGCCTTTGGTAAAATAATTGGATGTTTTTGGTCGTAACTAATGTCCGCATTCTCTAGCGGACCACCTACTCCTAGTAAGCCTTCGGCGTCCACAAAGGGATTTAACGCCTTCAGCTTACCTAAAGATGTACTGGACAACTCACCGGACATCAACTGATCAGCAATGTTACCAAAAACTTTCCTTTAGGCTAGGTAAAAAATACGTCTGGAGGCTACCCTTAAATCGTCAATAGACAAGATATCTGATACCGGTTGTCCATCTGGTTTTCGAGAGCGAAATATTTTGAACCACCGAAAGCAATATGCAACCACCCTGACTATTATTTGCCGATACGTTTTTATAATATCTGCCACAAAATAAAATGATGACACCTAAAGCGAACTAGAATAGAAAATAAATCCTGTTGCAGCTTCGGTCCTGTGTGCAGAATATTATTTAAAGAGATGCCTGAAGTTGACTTGACCGATGCGTCAAACCCTACACTAATTTTGTCAAAATTATTATCTTTGACCACTGGATGATGCGGCAAGAAATAGTACTTATTCTTAGCAGCTTTCTCTAGTGTCAGCATCATCTCCTCAGCATGATCTAAGTCGATGTAAGCTTTAATAAAATTGGAGTAGGCTGTGAACAAGGCACTATCCCTGGCAAACCGCCTCTCCAGGTTCAAATAATTCTATATTTAGCAACAGCGAATGACGACCCAATCTTATCTATATAGTTATCTAAAAATGGCAAAGCCACCTCAGACTGCCCATTCTCAAGTCTAGCTACATTTGCAACGAAATGATCTTCACATGCTTTGTCTGACCCAGTCATTGTATAATAAGAGGATACCTCCTCTAACTGCCAGAACTTTGTCAAACTATTATAAAGATCTCCATTGGATATGAAGCCAACATGTGCACGGCTCTGCATTTCTGATGTGTATACACCAGAAATCAGCCTCCCGAAGCAACTTTTCCTAAGAATGAGAAGATGATTTCCTAAGCGAATGCACCCCTGCTGTAAAACTTCAAAATATAGTTCCACTGCAATCAGCATGTCAACTACACCTGGAACGTTAAACATGGGGTCTGCTAGCGAAACATGGTCTGGCATCTTCCAGCCATCATACTCTATATAAGCAGACGGTAATAATTGTTTAATTCTGGCCACACAATTGATAGTGCGCGCAAAGACTCCTACCCTTGACTTTATAATCAGCTTGACAGACTTATCACAAAGCGCACTCTGCTCCTGTAACATGCTTAACTTATGAAATGACGAGCTGACCGGACATTTTAACTTAGCAAGTAAAGAAGTTGTTATTAAATTAATTTGCGAGCCACTATCAAGCAAAGCCCGTACCTTATGTTGGGTTCCATCCGAGTCAATAACAACAAGAGAAACCGTTGATAACAAAGTCTGCAGGAATATTGGCCATATATATTGTGCTACTATAAGTGCTGGGCTTATGCTCAGGTTCCTAATTTAGGTAACACAATATCTGGCAATTTCACATCTATCGAAGTGTTAGATGATTTTATAGCCGGTTTTTGATGGCGGTCAATAATAGTTTCAATATTCGCCATCATATCGAAATATAAATCAGAGTACCTTAAATATTCTGTAGTGTACACACCTGGGGAAATGCTATCAAGCTGTACATATGTCTCATCCCAACTATGGCATCGTTCCACAAGTTTCTGCTTTCGAACTGAAAGTGCCTTAATATTATCACCCTCACGGAGTTCTGCTATGAATTTGTGAATTGCATCAAATGACGCTTTAATCATTATGCACAATTATTATTTAACTACAAAAATATTGCAAATATTACAATCACAAACCGTGACAAAATACCTTAGTTTACTATAAATAATGTATGCCTTACGGTAAGATTAAACAGAAACTAAAATGACTTAATATGATCTAACTAGGTGACTGATGAGTGATCTGCGACTCCTGTGTTAGTACAACCAGTCAGCAATACAGCAACAGTCTTTCACTTTTATATATTATAAGTGAACAATAAGTTTAATTAATGACTCACGCCCTCGTGTATGTATTACATGAGTCAATAATAATCTTGATCCAATCTCCACGTGTGATTTTAGCCTCGATATCCTCCCCAAACAGTGTGGAGATTTGCCAATTTTTACGAACTCGTCGATCTGAACAGCGTGGTCCAATACAAGAATTTCACTTGGACAGCGATGTGAAGCCTAACCTCAAAGTCCGGAACCCCCAGATCTTCTAAATGTCACGATTTCAACTGCTTGGCCGTGTCGATAAAATTATTATGCTCTCCATGTTGTTTACGAACGGCTTAGATCACTTCTAATGCCGCATGCGTAACCAAACAATACACGCCGGTAAAATACTAGATATGTAAAAACTTTTCTCACCACAGTGTATAAAAATCTCAAAAATAATACTTGCACTGGTGAATATCCGTGAGAAAGACCAAATTATGGTAAATTAAAACACTGGATGGCTTGTTAATAGTATATATTCAATAGATAGGTATATAATATAAGAGAGTGCATAGATAAACAAGTATAATAGATTGCTATGTCTGGCGGGTTGACGTTACCTCGATTGAAATACAAATTTTTAAAAATAGATGGCAGCACATGTATAATATTTAAATTACCCCTGGCTTTACTTCTTAATTAGTACGTATCGTATACAGCCCCAAAAACCTGAATAATTTTTAATATTGGAAATAAGAACAAATCATACGAAATACAAAATATATATTTTCAAAGATATTACATATGTTTAAAGAACAATTAAAATTATGTTTATATTAACAATTATAATTACAGTTATGAAATGTTTGAAAATATAATAATTATTATACATAATTATAAAAGTATTATAATTTCACAATTATGCTTAAATAATATTTCAAAAACTAAATATCTAAGTGAAGAAAATCACAGAAGTATTTAACTAAACTAAGCACAAATAACTGACTAATATTAATTACTTAATGACTAATATTAATATATTAAAATCTTAAAAACTAAGAAGAAACTACAAGCACAGGAGCACGCAATGAAATTACAAATTTAGAAGGAATGACAAATAATACAAAAATTTAAAGGGTTAAGAAAAAAACAAATAATTTGTTGAAAAGTACAAATACTTCACAAACAAAAAAGTCCTAAAAACATAAAATATATATATTGATATCAAAATTGAGAGAAATTCAAATTCCTAGGATTAAAACTCATTTACGAGACATTGTTCTTTATTAATTCTGCATGTAATAGTTATTTCGCTATCTAATGAATTAATAGTAAAGTTGCATTTAACAAAACCTTCAAATAGTTTTTGTACGAGTGTTTTATAACATTACATTTAGCCATGTTCCATCATGAAAACATTATCATTGAAATTGCCATAAAAGATCAACAAAGTGTTTACAATGAACAGAATAATGTTTTATGCACATACAATTGTTTATGAATCAAAAGATAAAAGCAATATTTTTGATTCCCAAGGTCGGTAACAAATATATCTTGAATTTAAACATTATATTGGGATGTTACACAAGTTTTATTTGAAGAATATTATAACACTAATCTTCAATCAAAATTCATTAAAATATTATGTATGGTATAGACTCTCTTTATAAATGTTTACATTTGCTAATGTAATAGATAATCTTATTAAATATATCAATGAACTTACGTTGATGAACATTTAAACCAATACTAGTTTACTTTATAAGTGTTTACATTTGCTAATGTAATAGATAATCTTATTAAATATAACAATGAACTTACGTTGATGAACATTTAAACCATACTAGCTGAATAACTGTTTTGCAACTTCAACAATATGAGATTCAATCCAATCATATAACAATTCCGAAGATAATGGTATTTCATCAAACATCAAAACACAGTATCTGCTACTAATACTTTTTAAAAGAAATAGCTGAACCTTATGTTTTAAATAGACACTCATTACCACCGCTATACTATTGTATCTCTGAATGCAACTTTCTCAATGTTTGAGGACATGGCAAAATAAATATTTGTCTCCAAAAATAGTAGACCTGTGGAGACTTTTTGTACGACTTATTCCTTAAATTATTGCATTGTTTATGAATCCTTCTTGTCATTACATGTTGCATTCCTTGGTTGTCAAAAGTACTCCTGCGCTCTGTTCGTGCATTTTGCAGCAATTTGCAGGTACCCCCAAGACACCTATTCAATATAATAACATGTTGAAATATCTTGATTATATATAATTATTGCTGCAATTATTATTAAAAAATACCTTTGCGGAAACTTGTATTGGAATAGCTAAATATTTTAACCCGCACTTGACACTTTTTTGGGTACTATAAAAACACTTTGCCATATTAAATTTCACAAATGTTCACTTAAACAAAATTAATTAATTAGAAACAACACGAGTTCAAAAAGTTAGGTTATTCGTACAGCCGTACAGCGATCAAAACTTGACAGCCACTTGCATGAACTACGAACAATTTGTAGTTGAAATTGAGTGCACATGAGCCATCTGTTTTTAAAAATTGAAACTACTCAGGACCAAAACAGTGCAACGCGCATTTGTTCGAAGATAACTCCCCATGAGAGAGTGTATCTTATTAGTTCTATGTACAGTTGCGACAGGTTATGTCAAACGCGAACAGTGCGATTGATATACACGTTACCAACATGCTAACAGTACGCACGAAGCGCGCAGTTTTTAAAGTGTAAGAATGAGTAATGTTGTCCAAGAATTTTTGCTACGAACATAAATTGTAGGATAAAAAATTTTAAATAACACACTTTTCAGGGACGGTTTTCCTTCTTTAGTTTCGACTTTCTTGCTACAAGATGGCTCAAACATTCCTTGTTTCTCTACTATTGTAGGGTCCAAGGAAGCTACAATGAAATTTTATATTAGAACAATACAAATCGATTAAAGCTTATGTAATGATAAGTGAATTGCTTTGGCTGCCCATGTCATTCATGCATGCAATACCCGAAACCTTCAAAAATGTTTATGCCATATCCTCACTCTTGCGTATTGAAACACCTAGTTCTACATAAGGATATTTTTAAGTAAACTCATTATAATTCATTTCAAGAGTATATGTAAAATATATTACGGTATGTGTTTCTATCTAGAAGGCAGTTTTGTTCTGCATATGGATCTCCACTGAAACCTAAATAAGAAAACATTAGTGTAAAAATGTTGTTGCGAAAATTATATTATATTGAATCGCCTACCTGACATGTTTAATGTTGGCAATGCATTAGGTTTTAGTGTAGTGCCTGTTATATTTCTTTTGCATATACTTGCAAAATGTGCGTCACACACGAACCGAGACCTATTGCAACGCAAAGGTGTTAATTTCTCTAGATCAGGATTATTTTGTTCTTTCCAGCCAAATAGCAAACATCTACAACATCCAAAACAATATTTATTTGTAATTAATGTTTGGTTATTTTATTCCTAATACGTACTTTGTCATTTCTCGCTGCAAATACATGCAATTTTGCATTTTTTTTAGTATTAGTGCACCCTGGAACATAACACTTTGACATATTGCTTGCAAACCAATCACCTAATCACTGATAAACTCAAATGAATACAACGACTCATCTACGACAACGACACTCATGAAAATGACAAACGTTCTCGAAATTGTTTGATTGCGTTGAAATTCTTACCCGATGAGTGTCAAATCGCTGCAAGAGCGCATCTAGGGAGAGCAGCTCTAACAAAAACCGAGCTACAAACTTTTGTTCGGAGATTACAGGCCATGGCTCCAACTGCCTCGCCGCTAGCATCGGTTTTCAAGATGAATGGTTTTCCGAAATCAGGATACTGTACCTAGTATGGGTGCACTAGAAATTGCACTCTAGAGAGTATTGAATGATATTTTTTCTCGAGGACCCCATTTCCATGCCTCATTTTTTCTTAATAATACATTCAATGGATTTGCAATTTTTGCAAAATCTTTTATAAATTTCCTATAATAACCGACTAAATCTTGTTTCTCTGGGGTTTCTAGGAGCAGGAAAGTTTTGGACAGCCGTTACCTTTTCAGGATGGGGCGGTGTCGCCTTTTTCTGATATAACATGCCCAAGATACGTTAACTCACGCCTCAGAAACTCACATTTTATTGGCTGTTACCATAAATGTTAATATCATCCATGTATACTAATCTTTTGAGTCCTTCAACACCGGCCAAAACCAGGTTAGTTAACCTCTGTAACCCGCTAGGAGCATT